GTTGCGCTGTGTTCCGTCTCCCTTTTTACGCATGTTGAGATTCCTTGGACTGTCTCTCCCTTTTTACGCATATTTCAAACCTCTTCAAATCCCCCGCTCGTCTTCCCCGCCCCCTCTAGGCATTGACAAGAGGAAGGCGGCCAAAGAGATGCGCCACTTCGCCCCCATGCTCGCACGGCTAAACACCGTCGACCGCAAGTTCTATGCCGGCCTCAACGCCGTGCTCAAGACCAGCGACTGGAAGATCCACTACCCCAATCTCATGGGGTTGTGGGTGGCGGTGGCCATGCTGCCCCTGAGCACCGTCGAGTGCGAGCGTGGCTTCTCCCGCCAGAACCTGATCAAGAGCTGGCAGCGCGGCAGCCTCAATGATGCCCGGCTTAGCGATCTTATGGTGATGTCTATGCTAGACTATACCCCGGATTACCCCGCTGTAGTAAAGATCTAGAGAGCCTACAAGAAGAGAAGGCCCCATTCCACCTGTCGGCCCCGCCCCCAGAGCAGGAAGGGCAAGGAGAAGGTGGATGATGATGACTGTAGTGGCCCCATGGATGATGGGGGGGAACTAGAGGCTTATGTAGCCACCGAAAATGAAATGTAATGACTATCATTAATCAAAGTGCATTCGTGGCGTTTCAGTGTTTTTTTTTTTACCAAGGCTGAACATTCAGCGAAACCTTTTGAGTCAAGGCTGTCACATTCAGCCTTTTTTTTCAGGGGGGGGCTGAGAAATCAGCCTATGTATGGGAGGGAAGGGTGATAAATCAGCGTGCCTAAAAACGAATCTGGGGGCCTGCTGCGACTGATTACCCCTTTTCCCCCATACGCATCTGTGTGATGATTGTGTCCCGCGCAGCTCAATCCGTGACGGTTATCTATTTGTAACCTATTTATTGTGTGGTAACCGACCTCCCTACACACCCTTGGGCACCGGCTGTCACAGGATCGAATGAGGTTTGCTCAATGTTGCACTATCAATCAGTACAATGTGCTTTTATACTTCTAGAGTACATCAAGTAACCAGGTTTATCCTATCCAAAGGGAATAGACCCTTCTAGAAATAGAATCACCCTGCGTATAGCCACGCGAGGCTATTGGCTTTTAAGGGATTACGGCATAAATACACTAGACATAGCGCGCCAGTACATCCTGAGCCTGGTCGGTGATATAATCATAATACCAAGATAAACCAAAGGATAATGGAAAAGGAGGGATAGGAAACCAAATGAGATGAGATAAAGACCAAATGAATCTGATAAAAAGAGGAATGAAATAGAAAGCAAATACGGAAAGGGAAAATTGGTGTAACAGGGTCATACTCTCACACTTCCCCCCCTCAAAGCTGGGTAGTAGAAGTAACACCCTGCTTGACAAGGAAGTTGCGAAGAGGACGACGGGCGTTACCCATGTCGAATTTAGAGACGCAGCCTTAGAAGGATCACAACCCTTCTGGCAAAGAAGAAGCTCCAGTGTGCCATTCTGACGACGTCGGTGTCCGAGCACGTAGTTGTCCCATGGCGTGGATGAACACGGGCGGCGACGGTGGTTTGGCATTCGGTGTAGAGCGTATTTGGTCTTGATAGGGTTTTAGAAGCTGGTATGGAAGGCGTTATGGATCTTCCAAGTGGCTGGTAGCGGAAGCGGAAGGTGACTGAAGTGACCTTTGCTTCAACGAGGATAGACCCGCTGAAGCAAGTTTGAAGCATAGATGGAGGATGGCTGATGTCGAGATTATGGTGTGGATAAGTGTGGTGATGAGTAGCCAGGTGCATCTGCTGCTGTTGGATGTCCAAGAGGCGTGTTCGGTGTTAGAGCTGATGGACAACGATGATGAAATGGATTTGTCGGTTGTTGTGGTGTGAGCGGGTTGCGTCTGTAAGTGGTACGCGGATGGTGTTGATCGTGATCGAGATGTTGTAGCGGAAGAGTAGATGTACTGTCCTTCCGGTGGGTGCTCTAGGTGGCACATTGTAGCATGCGTTGAGTCTCGGGTAGCACATCGTGGTGTTACTCGCATCCCGTCCACGTATGAAGACGACTAAGTGTTGGTGGTGCTGCAGTCGTGTCATAGTCGTGCTTCGGTAGCAGCGTTGTATCCGATATATGCAGCTTCTGTCGAATGCTGGTCCATGCCGTAGTGTTGTCGTGAGTTGTACCCTCTCGGCATCATAGTGCTGTGGGATGAAGAGCAGAATCACGAGTAGTAACCCTGTCCACCACGCGGTCTGCTAGTCCACTGCCTTGAGTACAAAAACGTGTGCGAAGTGTTGCTCAGCGTATCCCTTGTGTGCAGAACCATGCGAGGGGTTGGTACTATAAACGCGGAGCTGGTAACTTCCAGAATCGGCGCCAAAGTAGTTTCCCTTGGTGGTTGCTCAAGCAAGAAATCTCTACTGCATAGATATCCCACGGTGATGGGTTAGGACATCTGGGAATGTTATGGGTATTCTCAAGTAATCCTTTCCCACTTCCAAATGAGCATTGGTGACAGCCAATCCAGTATGACCTTATGCACTTCCAGTTTAGCACGGAGGCCATCCGTAGGCATTGGTGTCTGGGCGTACATATTGGAATAGGTATTCTGGTACCATCATGTGTTGTCTCATTCTGTTACTGTCCTTGAAGTAGTGTTGATGTCGAAGAAGTCTCAGCTACCCTGCATCAGTGTTGAAGTCAGCTCCATTTTGGCAAACAGGGGTGTTGTTGGAGATACACGGAGTCCACTATCCGAAGTGGCGTCGGCGCTCCATTCCATGCCTATCTGCTTCCGTGGAGTTGGTGCTGGTGATGGATTGGTTGCGACGCAGGTTTTATGACTTTAAGGAAAGCCATAGGCCATGAGGACTTGTATACCGGTAGAGTACCATAGTCCTCCCATCCTCATACGAGCAAATATCTCCTGCTCTTGAGGGTATATGGCATTGCCATAGCAATTCCAGTGCATAGTGGAATCTCCTTCCCACTAGCTGGAAATCAAAGTATTGTGCCTGACCAGGACTTTACGATCATACTGGAATATAATCCAGCGTTATCTCCATTGAGCGGAGAATTATCCATCAGGGTTTGGATATGACTGTTGTGTCGAGTCTTCTGCTGCGGCGGCGGTGGCGGTAGCGACGATGGCAAAGGCGGCACCTGCTGCAGAGAATTCTCTCAACTCGTACTAGTTGAAGGAGAATCCATCAACTCCCTCTTCCCAGTAGAGTGTTCCTGATGGGTGTAACAGGCGTAACTACCAGGAACACGTGCACATTAGTACACATGTGTTGCTCCATTGCTGCAAGTGATTGTTTCATTTGAGGGTGTGAAGAGAAATTCGCTTCTCCCCTCAATGTATCCACGGGTAGCAATTCCTGGTATGCTCATCCGTGCCTCCGATGTACGGTCGGTAGGGCGCGTGATCGTGTTGTAGTAGTCCGCATCTCCCTCATGTGTTGACACCTCCTATTGCTTGGCGTTCTCCTGTATCGTCGAAGTTACGCTGATGCTTGTAACGCTTCGGCTTCTAGTAGAGTCGCCTCCAATGCATGTGTCGTAGGGTCGCTAGTGAGTGAGTACTTGCCAGATAAGAGGTTAATTACTCCTCAATCTGTCAAGCATCGTGACGTGCACGGAATTTTTTTCCACGCAGGTCATTAATACCAGGAATCGCGACGCATGATTGGTGTGTTGCCTTGTGAGGTTGATGTTGAGACTGCTCCAATCAATCACTTCGGATGGCTGAGATACTTGATGAGGACGAATCGATCAGCTCCTGGTACGAAGTAGCGTCTCGCTGGCCTTGACGAGACGAGTTCACTGCGTCGTCATTGCGTGCGATGCTCCTTCGCAGCAACTTGATGTTGGGAATATTGCAAGAGAAAACGGCTACTTCTCTGCAATCCCATAGGTTGTCGATCAAATTTATGAGATGAAGTGTCTCACTGATGGAGAACATGTCTTCACGCAGCTTCATTTTTTTTTCCTGGGTGAAGATCTCACGGTGTTGATATCGATCCATTTTTAACGAAGATGACTTCGTCAAAATAAATTGATCGTTGTCGACACTAGTCAGAAGATGCGTCGATCTTGCAGTCCCTGGTCACGAATGTTGTCTCCATTGTGATGATTTTCCATAGTGTAGTCTTCGCTGCATTCGTACCGTTGATTCCGCAACGATCCGACGATCCACGTTCTCCTGTCAGTTTTCTGCTTGCAACTATTACCAAGAAGGTAATACTCTGGCAGATTTCTAACTCTGCAGATGATTTGCGCGCCATATTCGTCACCAACTGAAGGAATTCGAATCTGGTTGTCCTGATGATGTCTGCGGTGTCGAAAGTGGCATATTTCTTGTTCTACGCGTCATTCTCTCTTTGTGCAGAAGTCGCGCTCCATCTCGTCCGTTGAAGCAGACGTTGATCCGACGGTCCAAACTCCAAGCGATCTGAAGATATTCCTGAGACGCGTTCGGCAGCTTTTGGTGCACGGGCTGACTCTTTTCCTGCAACAATTTTCGGTCGTCGATGTCGGCTGTCGAACGATCCAACGCTCCGAAGAATTTCACGGCTAGCAAGGTCCTGTTCCCATTCGCGCTGAAACTCGAACTCGCTCAGAAGGATTTCGTTTTTGCCTCGGTCGATCTGAAGCGTCGAATCTTTATCGGACGGATGTCGTCGGTCGAAGCTCCGCAGATTTCCGCGCAACTCCAAGTGTTGTGGCGAACTGCGACTTTCTCCGAATGTCGCAGGGAGTGTTCCGCCAGAAGTGACGTGTTCGCGAGGTCGAGGCCGTTTGCCCCCGCGAAAAAATCGGCACCGGCGATGCAGTCCATCGAACGGTTGGCGAGGCATCTCGCCTTTGAAGGGGACCCCAGGTGCAGCTGCGAGAGGTGAGTCGAAATTTAAATGAAAGTGCATTGTACTTACAGGAATTGAAGTTTCGACTTCATCCTCCGCGTGCTCCTGGGGGCCCAGCGGTTAAGCGTTGAGCTGAAACCTTGGCTCTGATACCAAGTGTTACAGGATCGAATGAGGTTTGCTCAATGTTGCACTATCAATCAGTACAAGGTGCTTTTATACTTCCAAATTACATCAGGTAACCAGGTTTATCCTATCCAAAGAGAATAGACCCTTCTAGAAATAGAATCACCCTGCGTATAGCCACGCGAGGCTATTTGGCTATAAGGGATTACTGCAGGATTACGCTAGATATAGCGCGCCAGTACATCCCGAGCCTGGTCGGTGATATAATTATAATAACAGGATAAACCAAAGGATAATGGAAAAGGAGGAATAGGAAACCAAATGAGAAGAGATAAAGACCAAATGAATGAGGATAAAAAGAGGAATGAAATAGAAAGGAAATATGGAAAGGGGAAATTGGTGTAACAGGGTCGTACTCGCACAGCGGCCCTGTTGCCGGTTATTCTCCTGAAGTCCCTTGCATTCCGAGTACTCATTTGTGTATGAAGTTGTTGAACTAAGCTAGTAGCACGCAAAGACTATGCAACACAGCATGTCTTCTTGAAATCTCACAATACCACATGCACAGAAAAACAATGGATGTACCGGTATGACCGAGGACCAGAGTTGCAGATATGCCATTGAAATAAAAGCATATTTTCTCTCAGAATGCCACCACAACGCCACAATGGCCAACAAAATTGGTGCTCGTCACTATCCCCTGACCAGAAAGTAGTGTGTAGATAGCTGGAGACATTTGCACATGCCGCCAAGGAGATGGGTCCCCCACAGCCCATCTCATATCGGCAGTGATGTTCCCCCTGAAACCGTCTAATCTGATATGGCAGGGAGTGTGTACAGATAAGGGAAGGGGGTGGGGAGGGGAGGGGGAGGGGTGGGTATCTGGAAGGGAAGGGAAGGCAGGGGGAAGGGGGTGTGGGGGGAGAAGCGGATGGTGAGAATGAGAGGGGAAGATGTGAGCACAATGACAGGGGGAGCAGAGGGCAATGAGAGGGCGAGCAGAGGGCAATGAGAGGGAGAGGAGGACAGGGGGAAAGGGAGAGGAGGATATGTTGGTGCAACCCTATGGCTTGCACTCGGCTTGTCGTCCTTGTTTGTGTGTGTGTGCATGGCATGTCATTGCTATCGAGTGCTTGTGTGTGTGTTTGAATCATGTATCATAATGTGGTTTGTGTCGGTCAAGACATTAGCGGGTTTTCACAACTCGCATGTCAAGTCGTCGTTTGCGTGTCGCTTGTGTTTTTTTATTTTTGTCGAGTGTGAAGTGTCCATCGCGTCGCAGGTGTGTGCAGCAAGCCCTCATCACTTCAAGAAGAGTTTATCTTGCAGAATCAAGACCAAGAGCCCAAGATTTCAAGCCCAAGGGAAGTGGATAAATATTCAAATAGTGAAAATCGTAACCTTATTTCATGTAGTGTTACATTTCACTTGGCCCAGCCCCTTGTTGAGTTTGTTTCGAGTCCCTTCGTGGTTGGGGACTCTGTGGTGGTGTACCACCAACCTGGATCTCGGCTCTTGGGGCTTATAGAGGCTGAGAACTATCTCAATCTCGAATCTTCTTGCTAAGGTTGTACTTCTAAGACTTCTTTTGGCTGCTATACCTCCTGCCAGTCAAACCGCATAGCATTGTCAAATCCTCATGGAATTTCATGATTCAACTCGCTCCGGATAGGAGACAGCAACGCGCTTCAGATCCAATTTACAGATCACCGTTTGAGGCACACATCAGATCGGTATCAATCTTTGAAGCCGTCTGACGGAAATCCGACAGTGCTCTCTATCTCTCATTTTAGGCACATCTGAGCCTATTGTGATTATAACAGGATACGGGGAAGGGGAGAGGAGGACAGGGGAAAGGGGAGAGGAGGAGAGGGGGAAAGAAAGGGGAGGACAGGGTGAAAGGGAGAGGCGGATAGGGGGAAAGGGACAGGAGGCTAGGGGGAAAGGGTGAGGAGGATAGGGGGAAAGGGAGGGAGAGTTGGACAAGGGGAAAGGGAGAGGAGGACTTGGGGGAAGGGAGAGGAGGACAAGGGGGAAGGGAGAGGAGGACAGGGGAAAAGGGAGAGGAGGAGAGGGGGAAAGGGAGAGGAGGATAGGGGGAAAGGGAGAGGAGGACATGGGGAAAGGGGGAGGAGGATTGGGGGAAAGAGAGAGGACAGGGGGAAAGGGGGAGGAGGATAGGGGGAAAGGGAGAGAAGGGTAGGGGGAAAGGGAGAGGAGGAGAGGGGGAAAGGGAGAGGAGGATAGGGGGAAAGGGAGAGGAGGACAGGGGGAAAGGGAGAGGAGGATAGGGGGAAAGGGAGAGGAGTATAGGGGGAAAGAGAGGAGGACAGGGGGAAAGGGAGAGGAGGATAGGGGGAAAGGGAGAGGAGGATAGGGGCAAAGGGAGAGGAGGACGGGGGAAAAGGGAGAGGAGGATGAAGGGGAAAGGGAGAGGAGGACAGGGGGAAAGGGAGAGGAGGACAGGGGGAAACGGAGAGGAGGAGAGGGGGAAAGGAAGAGGAGGACAGGGGGAAAGGGAGAGGAGGATAGGAGGAAAGGGAGAGGAGGATAGAGGGAAAGGGAGAGGTGGACAGGGGGAAAGGGAGAGGAGGATAGGGGGAAAGGGAGAGGAGGGTAGGGGGAAAGGGAGAGGAGGATGGGGGGAAAGGGAGAGGAGTACAGGCGGAAAGGGAGAGGAGGACAGGGGGAAAGCGAGAGGAGGAGATGGGGAAAGGGAGAGGAGGAGAGGGGGAAGGGAGAGGAAGACAGGGGGAAAGGGGGAGGAGGATTGAGGGAAAGAGAGAGGAGAAAAGGGGGAAAGGGGGAGGAGGATAGGGGGAAAGGGAGAGAAGGATAGGGGGAAAGGGAGAGGAGGATAGGGGGAAAGGGAGAGGAGGATAGGGGGAAAGGGAGAAGAGGACAGGGGGAAAGGGGGAGGAGGATAGGGGGAAAGGGAGAGGAGGACAGGGGGAAAGGGGGAGGAGAATAGGGGGAAAGGGAGAGGAGGAGAGGGGGAATGGGAGAGGAGGATAGGGGGAAAGGGAGAGGAGGACAGGGGGAAAGGGAGAGGAGGATAGGGGGAAAGGGAGAGGTGGACAGGGGGAAAGGGAGAGGAGGATAGGGGGAAAGGGAGAGGAGGGTAGGGGGAAAGGGAGAGGAGGATGGGGGGAAAGGGAGAGGAGTACAGGCGGAAAGGGAGAGGAGGACAGGGGGAAAGCGAGAGGAGGAGATGGGGAAAGGGAGAGGAGGAGAGGGGGAAGGGAGAGGAAGACAGGGGGAAAGGGGGAGGAGGATTGAGGGAAAGAGAGAGGAGAAAAGGGGGAAAGGGGGAGGAGGATAGGGGGAAAGGGAGAGAAGGATAGGGGGAAAGGGAGAGGAGGATAGGGGGAAAGGGAGAGGAGGATAGGGGGAAAGGGAGAAGAGGACAGGGGGAAAGGGGGAGGAGGATAGGGGGAAAGGGAGAGGAGGACAGGGGGAAAGGGGGAGGAGAATAGGGGGAAAGGGAGAGGAGGAGAGAGGGAATGGGAGAGGAGGATAGGGGGAAAGGGAGAGGAGGACAGGGGGAAAGGGAGAGGAGGATAGGGGGAAAGGGGAGGAGGATAGGGGCAAAGGGAGAGGAGGACGGGGGGAAAGGGAGAGGAGGATAGGGGGAAAGGGAGAGGAGAAGGGGAAAGGGAGAGGAGGACAGGGGGAAAGGGAGAGGAGGACAGGGGGAAACGGAGAGGAGGAGTGGGGGAAAGGGAGAGGAAGACAGGGGGAAAGGGAGAGGAGGATAGGGGGAAAGGGAGAGAAAAATAGAGGGAAAGGGAGAGGTGGACAGGGGGAAAGGGAGAGGAGGATAGGGGGAAAGGGAGAGGAGGGTAGGGGGAAAGGGAGAGGAGGATGGGGGGAAAGGGAAAGGAGTACAGGCGGAAAGGGAGAGGAGGACAGGGGGAAAGCGAGAGGAGGAGAGGGGGAAAGGGAGAGGAGGAGAGGGGAAGGGAGAGGAGGACAGGGGGAAAGGGGGAGGAGGATTGAGGGAAAGAGAGAGGAGGAAAGGGGGAAAGGGGGGGAGGATAGGGGGAAAGGGGGGGGAGGATAGGGGGAAAGGGAGAGAAGGATAGGGGGAAAGGGAGAGGAGGATAGGGGGAGAGGGAGAGGAGGATAGGGGGAAAGGGAGAGGAGGATAGGGGGAAAGGGAGAGAAGGATAGGGGGAAAGGGAGAAGAGGACAGGGGAAAGGGGGAGGAGGATAGGGGGAAAGGGAGAGGAGGACAGGGGGAAAGGGGGAGGAGAATAGGGGGAAAGGGAGAGGAGGAGAGGGGGAATGGGAGAGGAGGATAGGGGGAAAGGGAGAGGAGGACAGGGGGAAAGGGAGAGGTGGATAGGGGGAAAGGGAGAGGAGGATAGGGGGAAAGGGAGAAGAGGACAGGGGGAAAGGGGGAGGAGGATAGGGGGAAAGGGAGAGGAGGACAGGGGGAAAGGGGGAGGAGAATTAGGGGAAAGGGAGAGGAGGGTAGGGGGAAAGAGAGAGGAGGAGAGGGGGAAAGGGAGAGGAGGATAGGGGGAAAGGGAGAGGAGGACAGGGGAAAAGGGGGAGGAGGATTGGGGGAAAGGGAGAGGAGGACAGGGGGAAAGGGGGAGGAGGATAGGGGGAAAGGGAGAGAAGGGTAGGGGGAAAGGGAGAGGAGGAGAGGGGGAAATGGAGAGGAGGATAGGGGGAAAGGGAGAGGAGGACAGGGGGAAAGGGAGAGGAGGATAGGGGGAAAGGAAGAGGAGGATAGGGGGAAAAGGAGAGGAGGATAGGGGCAAGGGGAGAGGAGGACAAGGGGAAAGGGAGAGGAGGATAGGGGGAAAGGGAGAGCGAATCGCGAAGAAGTGGAGATGCGAGCGGATCGCGAAGCGTGGCGAAACGAGTTCGAGCGAGTAACTTGACTCGCCGGAGCGCAGCACGACTCAACAACGGCGACGAAACAGCAGTCGCAGCAGTTTCTCGAGGCTCTGAAACCGCGCTCACCTGAGCCGTTCGATCCGAGCGATCGAAACTCCGACGTCCGCAGATGGATCACCGGCATGGAGATCTACTTCGCAGCCGTCAAATGGAGCTCGCCAGTCTGGGACGGTCAACGCGTACGACTCGCAGCGACGCTGATGCGAGGACCGGCATTCCAGTGGATCGGCGGTAACAGCACGTTCATCCACGGCAAAGCCACGTGGCAGCAGTTCCGCACCGTCCTGCTGAAACGTTTCGAGCCGATAAATTCGGGTTTCCTTGCCCAAGAAAAAATTCATCGCCATCGACAGTTCGAGAGTGTAGCGCAGTACACGCAGCAGATGGAGGAATTTTACAACCGCATTCCCGACCTGATCGAAGGGGAAAAAGTACAGTCGTACCTCGCCGGGCTGAAGACCGAAGTCAAACGACAAGTGGCAGCGACAGACTACGCGAGCTACTGTGACGTCGTTTCGGCAGCGGAACGCTTCGACATGGTCAACGCCGGAACACGATGGGCGCACGTCGGCAGTACGCGACGGGGCGACCGCTCAGCTCACCCCACGTTCGTCGACCCGATGGAAGTCGACAGGTCCAAAGGGCGGCCACGTCCGAAAAACACCAACTTCATGTGTGATTTTTGCAGGGTGCCGAGTCATCGAATCTTCGACTGCAACAAAATGAAAGCCGCACGAACTGAGTATCGGCACGCAATAGTGGCGGAAATCCTTCGGCCAATCAGAAGCAAAAAAACGGGACTCGCCAGTGATTGCGGATCTAGCTGGCGAAAAACAAAAGATCCGAAAGCGACTGCGGACTTCCGGAAAAATCAACTTCGACGCAGCTGATTCGACGCGAACAGGAGAAAATGATGGGGAAAAATGTCCACCCCACGACCAGTCTTCGCCAGAGGAAATCGTCGAGGAAAAATCTAACTCCGCGAAAAAGGAATCTGCCAAGACGGGGAAACTCCTTGAAGACCCAAGAAATTATAAGGATTCGATAAAGTTATCTTATAAAGATGCTTGAATGAAAACTTGTAATTCTCGAGGGGCTAGAGCCTTGGAGAAATTTCGGGAGGGACTCCAGAAGAAGCAGAAAATTGTGGAGATCATACCGGTACCGGAGAACTTGGGGACCAAATTAAGGAGTGTGGAAAGAAGCCGACCTTTCCACGGAGTCAACGTCCTCTCCCGACACCAGCCCACAACGACCACCCGTTCCCTAGGGAAGACGTCGGTGGGGCTGATGCAACTCAAAAGGAAGCTCGGGATCTACAAGAAGCTGCAAAAACCCCGAACTCCTTCTTCGGATGCATCCAACTCAGCAACTTCGTCAACGACACGAACAGTCGTCACAGAAACTCCGGGCCCTGGAGAAGAGCCTTTCTCTAAGCAGCCTCGGCCAGCTGCCAGCTCAAGAGTAGGAAGCAACGAATATTGGGATTTACCCTATGATCCAATCAATGAAACTATATTTGGGTACTCCGAGCAACGTCTGCCCTTCGTGCTCGAGGTCATCTGCAAAGGACGATGCCTCCAAGCACTCGTGGACAGTGGAGCATCGCACACCGTATGCGACAAGGCAACCATCGAACGACTTCGAGAAGAGTACAAGCCATCAACATTTTCTGCAACAATGGTGGACGGCAGCAAGTTACCAGTGTACGGCGAAGCAGTGCTACACCTATAAATTGGACCACTGCGCTAGAAACCTGCTCTCCCCATCACCAATATAAAAGGGCTTGACCTGATCTTCGGGCGAGACTTCCTCAAGAAATTCAACCCCGAGATCAACTGGGTAAACCGCATTGCAAGCATCTACAACAAAGGAAGGAGAGTCCAGCTACCCAATTGGGACGATACAGGAGATATCCCAGTGGAGACAATCGCCTGATTCGAGAAGGACGTAAAACAAACCAATACCGGGTTCCTAACGATAGCAACAGAGGTGGGGAATGATGGAAAGAAAGTCTCGGAACCACCAGAAAAAATCAAGGACTTACTGAAGGAGTTCCAAGACATTCTTCCCGACGACCTCTCAGACGAGCTACCGCCATACCGAACGCACCAACACGAGATCGTGGAGGAACCAGGTTCGAAGCCGATCTTCCGAGCACCACATCGGCTACGCCCCACAGAACTAGCCGACATGAAGAAACAGATCGAGTATCTCCTCGCCAAAGGACTCATCTGACCATCCACTTCACCGTACGGTGCCCCAGTACTCTTCACACCGAAACCGGACAGAAGCCTGCGCATGTGCATCGACTACCGAGCTCTGAACAAGTTGACCATCAAGAACAAATACCCGATTCCACGAATCGATGACCTGCTTGACCAGCTTCGGGGAGCCACGGTATTCTCAAAACTAGATCTGCGGTCCGGATACTGGCAGATACGAATGGCGGACGAGTCGGTCCACAAAACTGCTTTCCGAACTCGATACGGATCGTACGAGTACCTGGTAATGCCGTTCGGACTCACCAACGCACCAGCAACGTTCCAAGCAGAGATGAATTAGGTCCTACACCCACTCTTGGATGAATGCGTGGTGGTGTACCCGGACGACATTCTCGTCTACTCGCGCGACATGCAACAACACATCGAGCACCTACGACGCGTCTTCGAGATTCTTTGACGAGAACGCTTCTACGTCAAACTATCCAAGAGCGACTTCGCCCTCGAGAAAGTCCAATTCCTCGGACATATCGTAAGCGCTCAAGGATTTCACGTCGACCCCAAGAAAATCGAAGCCGTGCGTACGTGGAAGACACCCGAGAATGTGAAGGAGTTACAGCAATTCCTTGGCTTTGCTAACTACTACAACAGGTTTGTGCCACAATACGTGAAAATCGCCGCGCCACTCACGAATCTGCTGAAGAAGAACACACCCTATAAATGGGAGCCACAACACCAGGAAGCAGTAGAGCAGCTGAAGCAAGCACTCACGTCCGCACCCGTACTCATCTTGCCAGACCCCGAACGCGACTACGTCATCGAAGTTGACGCCAGCGACCAAGCAGTGGGAGCAGTCTTGATGCAAGACCAGGGGAATGGACAGCAACCAATCGCCTACCTCAGCAAAAAATTACACGGGGCAGAACTCAACTCAACTACCCAATACACGACAAGGAGGCCCTTGCTATCATCATCGCCTTCAAAACATGGAGATGTTATCTCGAAGGACACAAAACAACAGTCTACACCGACCATTGCAGCTTAAATTATTTGAAGACGCAACCAAGCCTCTCCAGGCGACAGGTTCGGTGTATCGACTTCCTCGAGACGCACTTCCATTACGACATCCTGTACAAGCCTGGCCATAAAAACAAAGCCGATGCACTTAGCCAGCCTCCACACATTGCCGCGATCCAGGTTGAAGGAATGAATCCACTCCTCAAGGGACTCTTCACACACGGGTACACCATCGACCCTGAACTTCCCTTGGCAGAAAAGCGACATCTGCTACAGTGGGACAACGACATCGCGTACCGGAAAGGATCGACGAAGATCTGGGTACCTAATTACCCTCCATTGCGCCAGTTACTACTTGAAGAATACCATGACATCCTATACAAGGGACGCTAAGTTCACCTGTAAATTTTGGAAAGAACTGATGTCTCTACTCGGAACCAAACTCGCTATGTCATCCGCCTACCATCCGCAGACAGATGGACAGACCGAGCGCCTCAACCAAATTGTAGAGCAACTCCTCCGCGCAGCCTCCAAGGATGACATCTCCAATCTCCAAATGGGACTTGCATCTGCCCGTCCTGGAGTTTGCCTACAACAATGCTACTCACGCCGCTACTGGACAGATGCCATTCTTCCTCTGTTACGGACGCCACCCACTCACACCTCAACAGCCAAACATACCAGCCACAGTCCAACCCGCTCATGATTTCATCACGACTATGCACAAACTTTGGGATCGGACCCACAAGCGCCTTCTCAACATTCAGCAACAACAGAAGCGCCAGGCCGATCGCCACCGCACAGACCACACTATCACCGTGGGAGATCGAGTACTACTCGACACGCGCAATCTTGATATCAGCCATCTCCCATCCAATTTGCGACCTCGCTTCTGCGGGCCTTTCCTTGTTGAAGCACAAGTCACTCCTGCTTCATCCCGCTTACGCCTGCTAGCTACCTGGAAGATTCATAACGCCTTCCATGTCCAACTCTTGAAGCCCTACCGAGATCCCAACACGGTCTTCTCTGGACGCCAACCGCCGCCGCCGCCGCCAGTCCTCGTCCATGATGAACCCGAGTACGAGGTCGAGTCCGTGCTTGCTCACCGCCGTCGACGGAATGGCAACGTGGAGCTTCTCATCCGTTGGAAGGGTTATGATCCTTCAGAGGATAGCTGGGTCTCTGAATCCGAGATGGATCATGCTCGTCGTCCTCTTCGCGACTACCTTGTCAAGCAGGGTGTCACGTCTACCACCCAGCTTTGAGGGGGGGAAGTGTGAGAGTACGACGCCGTTCCATTCTCTTCTCCTTTCCATATTCCCTTTCCATTTCATTCGTCTTTTTATCCTGATCCATTTAGATTCCTATTTCTCCTTTTCCATAAACCTTTGGTTTATCCTGTTATTATCATTATATCACTGACCAGGCTCGGGGTGTACTG